GCTTCAGATCAGTCTGTGCTGTGCATTCGACCTGGAGACACACTTCTTCCTCCTATAAATGTATTCCCGGTTTCCAATGACGAGTTACTACACTGTGCGCTCTTCAACAAGACGGACACCCTGCTCCTTCAGTCTGGATTCCTCCAACAGAAAAATTGTTTCTACTATTCATGAACGCTCTTCGTATTTTTTTAGATGACGTTTTGACATTTTGAAGAATAAGCTAAACTATTGATTAGTCTCACGAAAGCTCATTCAACTCAATATTTTTCGTTGAGTATTACTATGAGTTGGACAATTCTGAATTCACTTGATATCCATACAGAAAAGCAATGAATTAGACGTTAACGACTAAGAACGAAAGAGAATTCAAAATGACTCCAGATTCCTGCATGGTCTGCGAAACTGAAACCCTTTCGTCGGCTCAAACGGGTTGGAAGTATGGAAACAGGCGTTGCAGAGAGAACAAAATAGAGATTTTGTTTCCCTCCTAATTAAAATGGACTTATACCATCCATTTGATTGTCTCTCCTTCCCAACGAAGTTGAGCTTGAACGACCTTTTTGTTTTCTCTCATCCCTAACCGAGATGGGTGGGAGCAGCCATTTTGTTTCCTATTTTACCAAGATTGACTAAGTCTTTTCGAACCATGAAGATCCTTTTGTGTTTTTTCTCTACTCCTAAACCTGGATAGTTGGAGAATAACCATTTTTGTTTCCTCTAAAACCTGGAGATGGTTTAAGTAGCCATTTTGTTTCCTCTGAAACCTGGAGAGGGTTTAAGCAGCCATTTTGTTTGAGATTGTTTGAGATTGTTTGAGAACAACCATTTTGTTTCCCATTTCACCCAAAAGGGTTCTCGAACTCTATCTTGTTCTCTCTTTTTTCCTACTTCAGAAAAATGGACTGGGTCTTCTCGAAGCATTTTGTGCTCCCAAACCTCGATAACTTGAGAGCAACCATTTTGTTGCTCATCTCAAACCTTGATGGTGGGAGCAGCCATTTTGTTTCCCACCTCATCAAAATGGACTGGGTCTTCTTGAACCGAGAGGGTGACCTTTGTGTTTTCTCTACGCTTAAACCTTGATGGTTTGAATAACCATTTTGTTTCCCATCTCACCCACATAGGTTGTGTTTTATTTTTTCCTACATCTAGCCAAAATAGATATGAGCCACCCTTTTGTTTCCCACCTCATGAAAATGGACTAAGGAGACCATTGTGTTTTTCACTATTCGTGAACTGAGACGGGGAGCAGCGACCGTTTGCATTTTCCCTGCGCTCCAACCGTGATCGCTTGAGCAGCCATTTTGTTTCCCATCTCACTCAGATAGGTCGTATTGTGTTTTTTCCTACACCTAGCCAAGTTTGACGTGAACCATCCTTTTGTGTTCCCATCGAACCAAAATGGATGAGTGAGACCATTTTGTTCTTTCGCTCTTCGCGAACCGAGACGGGGCGCAGCGACCGTTTGCTTTTTCTCTGCGCGCAAGCCTTGATCGCTTGAGCAGCCATGTTGTTTCCCATCTCACCAGTGGCGGGCATATTCACAAAGCCTACAGACAATTTCGCTACGGGCTGCTCTCATTGGAGGAAACATCTGCTTGGCAGTCATATTTGGAATGGCAAGTTATCGCCCTGTAGGCGTTGTAATTAACGCCAAACAAACGGAAACAACGTTTATTTCATTCAATATTTGTTTAGTTTATGAATGAAAGCTTAAAGGAATTGTGTGGAATATATCTTAAATAACCTACTGATCTTATTAATAGTTTATTTGTATTTGATTTCAAACTTTTAAAAGTACGTAATTGTTTTACAAGAAAAGGTGTTTATATGGAGACAGCATGTGCACTTTTTCGTTATTTCACTTAGGAAGAGTCTCTTGTGTAAATTTTCATAGCGCATTAATTTATACAAATAAAGGAATATTAAAAAATTAACCAAATGAAAACATTCAGTAAACATTTAAGGGTGTCGGATACCTATTCTTTTTACGAGTAAGTATAAGTAAAATTATATTTTATTTCATTATGCGCTATTTCTATTGAAACGCTTTGCGGGATCTTGGATCGTAATCTTGCTTACTGGTACCTACTACAAAGAGTACAAACCAAAGAAAAATTAATATTAACAAAAATACAGAAAATAAAGGCGTTTAATTTTTAACACCGTACCCGAAGACGAAAAGACAAATAATGACAAAGTCATTCAATAAAGTTAAAATAAAAATAAATCCGTATAGAGCAGAGTTTATGAAAGCTACGAGCGGGGATAGAACCAGCAACCTAGAAGCTGAGAATTATTCCCGCGCTCGTTACCACTGGGCTGCGTTTTTTCCGGTGGGTTATGGTCACTTTTTGGTACACGACGCTCAGATACAAATTGTAAAGGCGATGAACCAAAAGTCGCCAAGCGCTAGATTCTGTAACTCTACCTCTTTTAACCAATCGGAGCAAACAGCAGAAGAATAAGCCAGTGGCGGCTCGTAATAAGCACTGTGGAACTGCAGCACCCCCTATTTCCACTTATTATTATTTTTAATATTCAATATGGTGTGCCCTTTAGTCTTTAATTCTTTCTTTATACTTTTGCAATACATAATCCAAGCTTAATTTCAGTAGCCATTCCCCACTTTATGAAAAAGGTACGAAAGTCTATGTTTGGAACTGCGCGCTTCACAGTTCCAGCGGCGTGGTGTTTGGATGTTCTGCGCATGCGCACACAGAAAACAGCACGCAAGACGGGTCGAGAGAAGAGCACTGTCGCTCTTGCAGTGCCGAAATTCTGGCATGTTGTTGGAAACGTGATTACTGTTTACTCCGCGCGTGAGGTATTCCTCCACAAGGTGGAACTTCAGCATACTGGCCATAAACAGATTTCATGAAAGTTTCGCAACCTTTTATAGAATTGCCTTACTGAAATTCAATCAACATCAAATGCAGATCAAACTATTGCAAAAACAACAGGAATTTTAAAATATCTAAATGATGATAATTTCAAGTTTTGGTTAGAGCTTTTTTAACAGATGCCTCATGTTGAAATAATATATAACTAAATGCAATCCAGAAAATTTAAAGTTAACGAATATATAACAAATTTCAAAACTGTTATTTTAGAATTAAGAAAAAGTACCGTGAGAACTTCTTAAAAACACTGATGGCAGAAGCTAAAGAAATATGTGACTTTATACAGTGTATTGATATAATGCACTGATATTCTTCCATTAAACACTTAGCAGCTGCTAAATTGTTAAACAAGAAATGCTTCGCTAGTTTTAGGAATGAACATTCTACAGAAGAAGGAAGAAATAGTACGGACCACTGAAGCATATCCAATGATTGACAAAGAAAAGATTAAAACTGACCTAAACGTATACTTGCACATTAATTGAGCTACTGAAATTTATCTTCGAAAATAATCTAGATGATGTTCTTAGTGAAATTACGAAACTGATAAAAATTCTGAGATTTCCCATAACTACATCAGAGGCAGAAGGCTGCTTTTCAGCATTGAAAAAAATGAAAATTTTTCTAAGAAGCACTAGGAATTCTGAAAGACTAAATGCGCTTGCATTGCTTTCAATAAAGAAAAATTTCCTCAGTTGTCATCCAGAGATCAAGGAGAAAATTATTGATCTTTTCTCGCGCAAATTAAACAAGAAGAATGGATTTCATTTTTAAATCAATAGAGAAAGATTGAATTGTATCAATTTTGGTTAAAGTAATTAAGAAATGTTTAATTTTTTTCTTGTAAGATTTCATGAAGTTTCAAAATAAATTTTCTTTTTATACATGTTGGTTTCCTTTTAGACAATTTTAAAACAAAGGTTAATTTTTTTTGGAATAGCACCCCCAGTAATTTTAGCCACGAGCCGCCACTGCATTTCACCCCGATAGGTCGCGTTGTTTTTTTTTTCTACACCTAGCCAAGTTTGACGTAAGCCATCCTTTTGTGTTCCCATCGAACCAAAATTGACATGAGCCACCATTTTGTTTCTCAACGGAAAAGTAAATTTTCTGAATGGGTACCGGTGTTCAAATACTTTTGTAACCGACTGTACATTATGTAAATAATTAAACATTTTTGTGGCCTAATTTAATTAGTTTTAATTTGAACCAGCGCCATTTTCTCTCGTAATTCATCGCTCGTTTTTATTACCAAATAGGAAGTAAATATCATGTGAGGAATGTGAGCTAGGGAGAAGAGGAAAATATATAGGGAAAAGTGGTAATTACTTTTGGATCCTATTTCATATATGTATTAATATATCACATTCCCGTTCATTTGATCTGCGTATGTATCAAATAACTGGCTACTTTCGTCACTTATTTCTGGATGTGTATTATTTTAAAACTTTTTCTGCTTTGTAAACTTAAGCATTGAAACATTATATGAATGCTAGTGAAAATATTATTTCAGGTTAAAATTCTCATATAATTACAATAGAAATATTCTTCTATTATTTACTTAAAAATACAGTAATTGATAGCCTTCCACATGGCAGCCATTCTAGAATTGGTTCTGTAATGTTGATTAAATTGTCTTATTCATTATTTTAGCTAATTATTCATTTCATAAAGAATATATAATGAATATAGAAAATGCAACTTTAATACATTTTAAAGAATAATTTATAAATCCACTCTCAAGTCAAATCACAGGAAAACGCTTGTATCAAATCCTTCCGTTGCAGATATCAAGAAAATCTGTAGTTTTATTTATTTATTTATCATTAGAGTTTAATGTTTTCCCTACTGATCAAAGCAAATTGTTAACCGAATGTCTCTTCACGAGATGCTGAGAATTCTATGAACTGATAAAAAACTTACAGTTCTTTTAAATTCTTCTCTCTAAAGATATTGATGGATTACATTTACAAATAGGATAAACATTTACAAATTTACGTACCCCAAACCTTAAAAATTAAACCAAACGATTTTGTGTGCATGAAGTTTCGAATAAAACGAATGGCAACAGAAACTATAGAAATTGAATGTTTGGCGGCAGATAGTAGTTCTTTTATAGTTTGGCTGTACGGTTGAGAACTGATGAAATTTGTAAATAAGTGATTTGTTGACTTTGTATGAAATAACTTAGGATTTGTAACAATATATACGTATGGTAAGCAGTATTTAGCTATTCGTTTTTTGAAAATATATTTAAAAATCTGTGTTATTTTTTTATGCCCTTTTTCTCCCGGTGTTTCGTTTTCATAATACGGAACAAATCTGCCGATGAAATCTTCAAAACTATTTTTTTTTTTAAAGTCAGTTAAAATCATTTAAAAGGCATACTCAATAGTATTTTAATTATGATGGCGTACTTGTAAAGGCTTTTTATACAATTATTCCTGTGAAATGAAATTTTACATGTGCATTACATTATATTTTTAAGCACATATTAAATGCGTTTTATTTTATGATTATCTTTTTTAAGTATCTAGGAAGTGTACATAATCTTGAACAGGTATATAGTAAATTTACATGACGACTAAATTTTAAAATACTAAAGTGTAATAATTTATAATTCAAATCTTTCTTGGGAAGTTATGAAGTACATTAACTTTAAATTAAAGCCAATGCTGTAAAAGCTTATTTCTGTCTATTCCCTAGTTTCATAAGAGGATCTCTGGAATCTCATTAGATAGAATACATGTGTTGGTTCGTGAAATTTGTGAAGCATTAGGTTCATGAAACCAGTTTGGAATGTGTTATATTATTTCCTTTTAATGTCTAATTACCTCCATTTTTTAAAAATTTTACGTTAATTTTAATAGGAAAGAAATTATTATTTATATTTTTTATGATTGTATTTTAACTTGATGTCTTAGAATTCTTTTAAGTGAAGTATTTAAAACTATTTACGACGGTGTTCTCTATGATAAGCAAATGAGTTGTAAAACTATAACTGTCCAGTTCTTTAAATGTTGGTATGATGGGCCTAGCCAGTGTCAGTAAAGAAAACTCATGCTAAACATTCTTGCCATTCACTCAGGAAATTTATATTAAGAAAGCTGTCATGATTATTATCAGGTACTTAAGTATTCGCACAATAACTGTGGTACAATTTAGGGACTTCATAGAAGAAAAAAATGATGACTTATTCTTGCAAGGAATTATTTATTACATACCTGTTCAGTTTTAATTAGGTATTTATCCTGAAAAACCAATCAATAAACTTGATTACAGGCAGGTTTTTTCTTAATATTTTGCTGGAAATTACATGGCTAATGCTGTTATAGTTTTAAAACAGTTGTTCCCTTTAGGTATTTTGTGGCAACTGTAATCCGGTAGAAATTCTGCAATTTTTTTATTGCAGGAAAATCGCAGAAGTATATACAAGTGAGCCCCTCTCCAAGAAAACGTTCTTAGTTTCCAGATACCATATGATGAATAGTACTGGAATATTTGATGAGATTTTGCTCAAGTTAACTGTAAATACTTCCATATTTTTGTTTTAAGAATTTCTAGTTTTAACTTGGGCAGCTGGAAAGCAGTGACACTGAAATTGAAACTTACCCCACAGCAAAAAAGTTAGTGCATGCTAGGGCTCACCAAAATAAGCAGTATTGTGATCTGCATAGAGCTTTCTGAATAACTACCCATCAAACTGATCGCTAGGACAGCTTGGCCTAATGATCAGCATTTTAGCAAGTAGTCTCCGTGATTATTGGATTTAACATCGTGTGACTTTTATCTCTGGAGTTTTGTAAAGAGCAAGGTCTATGTAGCTCCACTACTCATACTTCTGGATTGCATTCCTTGCAGCTATTTGCTGTATCACATCATATGCGCTTCAGGCTATATGGTTAGAGCTATAATAGGATCACAATGCTTGCCACATCACGATGTTGCACACATTTTGGGTTTGTGATTCTAATCAGTATCGCCAAAAATATTTCAAATTTATGTAACTATATTAAAAATTTGGGGAGGGAGTCATTCTGTATTAAAATTATATGTTTCTGAAAGCGGGGACTATTTTTTTGCTCATCCTGTATTTTAAAATTCAAAGTAAAAAAAAAAAAAAAACATTTAGAAAAGTCATTGGAACCTAAAAATTGAAAAACAATAAGAACAATATCTGTATGTGTGGTAGGGATTGCTTAAAGGAATAAATAATTCTGCAAAGAGGGTGGGTTATATTCAGTGGAGATATGCACAAAAATGTTACCCTAGTGCAGGGTTTCTTAAACTGTGGGTCGTGGGACCTGCATCAGGTCAAATATCAAAACTGCTAAAAATTTTAGCAGTTTTCGATATTTCTTTAACTTATTTTAATAATGTTACAATTACTAAATATTTTTACACAATATATCTGAAAATAGATGACAATACAGACAAAGAAAACAAACGAAAACGTTTCGACGCACTCTTTTTATAATATACACGTTCATTTTACTTGCTTTACACATGACACTGTCATTTCGTCTGTTACTTATTTAAATTTTTCACATTGTTCTATGTCTTAAAATTAGAAATTAATGACGTAAAATTACAATAGTATATTACAGTGCAAATGGAAAAATTGAGAGTTTCACTCATGCGTGTGTCGGATTTGCACAGTTATGGGGTCCCAAAAAATCTTCGTAAATGTTATGGGGTCCTGGTGTCACAAACAAATCTCAGTAGTAAAAAGGGGTCCCAACTAAAAAAAGTTTAAGAATCCCTGAACAAGATGGATGGTTCTCTCATTTAAAAATCCCGGACATCTCGCAATGGTAAGTATGAAGTTTAATAGGGCTAGTGTTTGGTAGCCACATCTGATGCTAAATACTTTGGTAAAATAAGGATTTAATATTGTTATTGTTTAATTCTACTGAGAAATTTGGCTCAGCACTTTCAGAGTTGTCGCTTGCGTCTTCATTATAAATATTGTTATTAATCATCAATAATCTAAGCTCGCACCGAGATTCTAAATCGAGAATAGAAAATGTTTGAGCTAATTGAAGGCATTCACAACTTTTTCATACTGTCTTTTACTCAAAACTTGCACGAATGTTAGAAGATCCATTAATATTAATTCTTTTAATATTTCCGAAAAACCTGCTCTTAAACTTTATGACGAAAACTTATAGTTGTTCAATATGTTATTTCCAGGGCTGTGGAATCTGAATCGGAGTTGGGCAGATTTCGGGGTAAAAGGAGTCAAAGCTGGAGTCGCTAAAAACAAGTCAACTCCATCTCCAGTTTTCGCTGGACAGTTTGAATTTGAAATGAAATTAAAATGAATTAAAAAAAAAAATTAATGACAAGCTGAGTTATTATTTTTATTTATGGACTATGTACATTAATAAATAGTTATTTTCTATTTTAGTGACATATTAATAAATAAATATAAGGGAGGAGGATGGATAATTACCATTAATGATTTAATTGATTCATTTAGTTACAAATTTCACTGGTAAATTTAGGTAAGCAGCAAGAACTCCCAAAATTGATGCCATTGTCAGGAAGTGATCAGGAAAAGGAGCAATTATTGATCAAACAACATGATAAGGAAGTACATATTTGATAATAAAGAGGTTGTTAGAATTAAGAACTTTTTTAAAAGATGTAGATAACCCTAATGTTCACTAACAGAAAGACTGTGAAATGATCTCGCAGAATTGGAAACTCTTATTTTTACACCGTATATAGCCACAAAAAAGCTGCAATCTGAAGAATTGACAGGAGGTGAGAATGGAAGAATGTGATGTTTGTTCTTTCTGAAATGGAGGGTTTATTGCAGAAGGAATCATTTCTCCAATGAAGAAAAGAGAAACTAGTTTGCTAGACAATGAGATCTTGCTGGGTTCAATATATGTAGATCCAAAACATCGAATTTTCTTGGATGAAGAACATATTAAAAAGGCAAAGAAAGCCATCTATGAACTTTCATTAAGAAGGAAATTATTCTCAGAACAATTGGAGAATTCAAATCAGGACAGTCAAACTGAAGACATTTTAATTGAGTCTCTGTTATCCTCTTCCAGTGATGAATTAGATTTTGAGAAATATTTTGGATAATTGAAGGCAAGCGAATAAAATAAGACCGAGCCTTAGATAAAATGAAAAAATACAAAAAGTCTAACGCTTGAAAATAAGAAATAGATTGCGCTGCAGACCCTCTTTAGAACTTATAAAATCTATCCTGAAAAGTTAAAGAGTACCTCTAACACAGGTCTTTAATATATAAGGTTAGGCCAGGAACGGAAAAAGCGTGCCATTGGTTGCTGGTAGTGACGTCACCCGGGAGACAAGACGCATCGGCCGACGCGTCTGCTACATGATTTTGGTAGATACACCGGAAATACCGGGTATATACTTTCCGATTAAGTATTTTGTTAAAGAAAATGTTTATTTTATGCACAGAATTCGTACGAATGCTGAAAATAATTGTAAACATTAAATTCTTTTCGTAAAGGAAAGCATTAGAAAATGAAAAACGATATTTAAGTTAATTAAGGGAAATAAATATTGTAAAACAAGGTATTTTTCAATATTTTTTCGTAGTATTGTTTGCACTAAATAAATCTTGTTGAACAGAACACATGATGGCATAACTGCTAAGACCATGGTAAAAACATAATCAAAAAGTATTATTCTATTTATTTTCATTGCTCATGCACTTTTTTTAATACAAATGAACTTTGACATTCCATGAGAAATATATGATCGTGATTTTCAGTTTAAATTTACATATCTCAAGCAAAAATATATATAAAAAGATTTGACTTAACAAATTCATATTTAAATACTATAAAATTCTACAAATTTCTTAATATCCGTCATTATACTTTTAAATAGTATACTTATCACATTCTTTTTAAAGTGAAAAGTCACTTCATACTGATTCACTTCAGATTTTAGCAGAAGTGCATATTTTTCAGTATAATCTAAAAGTACTCTTATAATCCCTTACACTCCCAAGATTTCTATATAACATTTATCCTGACGTGATTATTTGCTATAGTAAATAATCTTCGATATTGGCATCCTATTCTTCCTTCCATACATTAAAAATGGAACAATTAAAATACATTTTCTTACACATATACGCACAATAAATATAATAATAAACTTGCCCTACATCTTAGTTTCGGCCCACCAGCGGCCGAGCGGTAAAGTCGCTGAACACTGGTAGTTCGGTCCGAATCCCGCGAACGGGCTGGCTGCATGGGTGTTTTCGTGGTTTTCCTCATGTGTGTAACGTGTATACGAGCCAGTTTCCCTGAGAAAGTCCTCCACGAAGGCATCACACCTATTACGCAGATAGCCCTAGTGTGCTTTGCCATAATTAAATACACCACCACATCTTAATTTCAATTCAGCCTGTACACAAATTAAATATTTTTAATTACTAATGTATTTTTATCAGGTTGTTTCTTAAAATACTTTTGTTATACTCGAAATATGTGTTCAATATTGAATTATTTTTCTTTCTCTTATAATTAAAAACAAGTTATATGGAATCAAAATTAAAACATATGCAGCAGTTAAATAACACTGAATAGAATATCTTACTTACTCTTTCGCTATTTGTATTCTAGCATTATACACAGATTTTTTTTTCCTTCAGGGTCAGCTATGTGTAAGTTCACTTAGTTATATCAATTAAATTACATCCGACATATGCATCAGTTAAACAATATTGAAGGAAATATGTTGCTCGCTCATTCGATGTTTGCATCATAGTGTGGTCGAGAAATTGTTCTTTCTTCTGAAGCATGTATCAGTTTACTTAGTTCTCAATGCTTAACCCAGACATTGCTTCAATACATAGAATTACTTTTGGGATGTAAAGAAAGAACCAAAACATGTGAATTAACTTGGATAAGCAAATTTATCAACTAATCATTCAGGTACTCACTATTGGTAAACACACGACACTGAGATTAAATATCTCGCTGTAAGTCTACTTCATAAAAGGAAAATTATGATAAAATGAAAAGCACATATTCTGGCATTTTCTATGTTGAAATTATCTGCTCTTTTGCAGCGAATAGTCCATAACTTACGAAGTTCTGGATCACTTGGAAAACGATGGTATGTCATGCCTTGACTTTTAGTTTTCCTTCTATAATTCTGACACAACGCTATAGCACAACTTGCCATTTCCGACTAGGTATAAAAGCAAATTAACAACACAAATCAAATGTATCCCAGATCAAATGCAACGAATGTAAACAAACGCCGAGAACTAACGACTGTCACCCACATGACGTCATGCGCAGGTAGCATAATTTTCTCCCTGCACTACGCATCACTCTTGGGCCTCCCCTGCCTCTAACAGTAACAGCTCTTCTTCCTACTCAAGTTAGCGTGGAAAGTTCTCAGTTCTGAAGTTTATCAAATCGGATCTATGGCCCTCCAACAAAGATCTTGCCAAAGCTATACCGTTTCTTAGAAATAACTAATGCCAGTTTTCCCATTTCATAATAAATGCTAATTAATATAAATAATTTGCTATTGCCATCAGTATTTTTTCCCCTGTAGCATCTGTTACTTCTTTTATATTAAAAAAAAATAAGCTGAAATCAGTGTGTATATGTTTACTTAAATATATATGAGGGAGTCGGAGTCGGTCATTTTCCCTACCGACTCCACAGCCCTGGTTATTTCAACAAGGCTTCGTTCAGTCACTAACTTTAAAGAAATGCTTTTAGAGTTTTTGTCAACTGCTTGACACAGACAATTGGAATATATACTTCCTTTGTTAATAGCACTTTACTAAAATATTGTGTTTAGACTGTTCCATATTTCCAGTATTTAGCATTTAAATTTCTCATAGAGAGTAACACATTTTTATCTGCTTCCAGTTTCCTATAACTAACCAAAGATATCGCGCCTGCCGACGCGACTGAGTACCCCTTAATCATCATGTCAAAGTGCAGAAAAGGTCTGATTTCCAATTTTGAAATATTTAAATATATGCAAGGAAATATCCTGGACAAGGGCCTAAATCTTAACAAGAAATCCTACCACAGAGATGTTTGGTGTTGATACTTACTGCCTTGGTGAATTTCATCTCATGCTTTTATATTTCAGAAAATATCTGTTATGAATATTTATTTGGATAAGCCTTATCATTTGAAATTTAATTGTGTGTATTTTTTTAAAATTTAATATACACTGATATGCAAAACTTAAGCAACAGCAGGGTTTTTTGCCATAACTCCACGAGAAATCAACTGAGAGACATGAAATGCAGAAATGAGAGACAGAGTATTATGTACGTAAACAGGATGGACGAAAGCATCATAGCTGCGCGAAAATGAATATCAATGCTTAAACGGTATGGAATCAAACAAAAAACAAAATCTTTATTGAACTCATAGTACCGTTGACACATGATTGTCTAATCCAAGAGTAAGAACAACAAGCAGATGTTCCTTAATACGGGATATTTTGCCCTCTTATTCACTGCAATGGTTGCTTCGCACCGTCTCTCCGTATACTCAGAACCAGAATGGTCCAAGAGATTTCTTGAGGTAGAGAGTGCTCTATTCCTCAATCATCATATGTTCCAGTTGTTGGGTGTTCTCCGGAGGATGTAATCGTGCCTGCAAATGCGTCTCTCCTCAAAGCATCCCACACATGTTTGATGGGATTTAAATCTGGGGAGTATGCTGGCCAATCCATTCAAGTGATATCTTCACTTTCCAGTAGCTCCTCAACAGCACGAGTCCGATGTGGCCATGCATTGTCATCCATAAAAATTAAGTCTGGGCCAATGGCACCTTGGAACAGATGCACATGGGGAAGGAGTACCTCCTCACAATAACGATCCCCGGTTACAGACCCTCTGTCGAAAATGTGGAGCTTAGTTCACCCGTTCAGCATAATGCTTCCCCAGACAAGAACTTCAGGACCACCATTCCGGTGTCTTTCCTTGATGTTACTGGGATTAAACCGGGTCCCGACCTGTCTCCAAATCAAAACGTGTTGAGAATTGTTTCTGCTACTGAACCAACTCTCATCCGTAAAGAGGACACGACTCCGTTGATCAGGTGTCCAGTTTTTGTGCTCGCTGCACCACTTTAAACGGTGGCGTCGGTGGCCAACTTTCAACGGAGGCAGCGTTCAGGACGGCCGGCGAATAGGACCCTTTGTGAAGGCGTCTGGCCACAGTAAACCGCGATACTTGCCTTCCCGTTGCTGCACAGAGTTGCTGACTGCTGTCGGCCTCTTTTCACCTGCAAGACGGTTAATTGGTGATCCCCTGCAGTTGTCGTTCTTGGGTAGCCACTACCAACCTTTCTAATAGCTATACCTGTGGTTTGGAATGCTTTTCAAGCGCGTGAAATGACATTTTTGTTGATTCCGAACTCTGCAGCTACACTGGTGACGCCCCTCCTCCAGCTTTCTGATCATTCTTCCACGTGTGAAGTCATCCAGATGATTTCTTCTAGCCACATAGTTCACGAACTGACTCACTGGCACTTGCAGCGAATATGTTAAATTGAGTCTCCGTCCTTTCTTTTAATCTACTGCCGACATCACGCGTTTGTGTACGCTCACGTCGCCTCTGACGTTTCGTTCCTGATATTTGCATAGGCATGACATTTCTACTGAATTGCGTGTTCATTGTACTGATCACCAGACCTCCTTTTCTGCAATTTCATGGCTATCTGCGAAATTTTTACATTGTTGCTTAAGTTTTGCACACCAGTTTAGTTTATAAGTATCTAATGTTTGATAATTTTGTTATATATTTCAGCAATTATGGCTGATTGTGCAGTAAGAGTTGCAGTTCGTGCTCGACCCCCTCTAAGTGAAAAGAGTGGAATATCGATGAATTTTCTTCCTGAACCACCAACTATCATAATTCATGACAGATCATTCACTTATGATTATGTTTTTACTCCTGATAAATCAAATCAAGATATTTATGACACTGCTGTGGCAGATAAGCTTCAATACATATTTGAAGGTAATATTATGTGTTTTTAAATTTAAAACTTTTTTGTAAGAGAAAATGTTTTAAATATAAAATTTGCTCCATGACATTGAAGTTGTAAAAAATTCATAATTGTTTTTAAAAAGAAAGTCTAAATTGGTTCTGTTTTTAAATCAATATTTTTTCATAAAACTGTGTATCTTAAATCATATTAATTTGTATAGCAACTACATTTATATTGAATGATCATCAAAATATGTGCGTCCTGCTGATTGAAAGTGATTAAAAAACAAGCTAGAAAGAAATAGAGATAAAATTCAGCTGAAGAATCTAGATAATCTGTTAACAAGTTCGTAATATTTTATTTTAGTTTTTTGTTTCATGTATCAAATCGTAATAAAGGGTATCCATATTTACTAACTCCAATAAAAATGAAAGCTTTGAAACGTTTTCAAGTTCTAACTTATTTCATAGTTTGTGTGCCAAGTTAAATTTTAAAACTTTCAATACCTGCATATATTGCCTTAGATCTGAAATAGTTGCTTTTAAGGAACAATTTATATTCTTTAAAATGTGTGATCACAGAAACTTAACATTCAGATTTTATCATTTTGCTGTAAAATATGGTGTTTTAGATTGTAATCATTGATCAAAAACAACAAACTGAGTAAAATCCTTTATATCCTGATGACAGTAACTGTAGGTAAATTACAATAAAAGAAAATTTCACGTGTATATTTTTCTAACATTCTAGCTTTTCTAAGCTTATTATGTGTTTTTGAAAATTTCTATGTTAATAATAAGTACATTTAACAGATTTCTTTAAATAGTTTTTAAACAATATGAAGGTTTCTTTTATGAATAATATTCAATCAGGCATGATATTTTGATTCTTTTATTTATGTTTTGTGGTACTTCATTTTTTTTAAAAATATAGTTACTTTGGATAACGTCATTTAACATACTTTTGCATTCTTTCTCATGCTAGATTATCAAGAAATGATCTTTTATTCTTTTGATGAAATATGTCATTAGTGAATTGAAACAACTTGTTACTCTTTTATTCTAATTTAAAAGTACCATTGATCCTCTCTGCAACATCTTGATTTCAAATACATAAAAAATAATTTAATCTAAAAAAATTCTTATTTCAGGATAAATTTAGTTTCAAAATTTGTAGTAGATTCTTAGATTTTGCAGTTGACTTAGTCTCTTTTAAAATTTTAGCAAGAACGAAATTAATGATAGGCATCAGTTTTCTGCTTTGTGACTAACTGAAGAATGATGTGATGCCAGTTCTTAAAAACAGCATACCTTAAAATTTTTCATAAGAATTTATTTTATGCTCTATTTAACAACAGTATTTATTTTTCAGTAGTCCTCGTCAATGTTTGAATTTATCAATGCTTGAAGATTTTCTGAATAAAGATGTGATTGTATCTTAAAGAATATTTAGTTAGATGGTGCTTCTAGAGAACTCAATACATTTAATTATATTTTAATGAAACAAGAAATAAATTTATTGCTAATTAATTGAAGGGGGCCAAATTTTAAAATTTGCTACCTTTTAAAGTAAATTCTTTCATTTTTTTAAGCTGTCATAATTTTTCTCCATATAAAATTAATGTAAAATCGACATCATTTAGATCTGTTATTTTAATGAAATAAGATGACAAAATTAATGTTTTTCCCATTTGCATGAAAGCAGTTATAACTTTTTTCTTTTAAACTACTCAGCATCTCTTCTGGTGCAGCTTTTCCTTGTTCTTTAAATCTCTTTACTTATTTCTAAAATGGTTACTGTTCTTAGTCTATAAAATACTTCATTGTCAGTTTACTAAAAATGGTAAACTAAAATTTTTTAATCATAAAGGGGATTTAAGCTTTGAAAACTCAAGTCTTAAAGCTTTTTATTTATTCTCATTGTTTCAGACCTAGCTTAAAATCCTGTAGAATGTTTTATCTGGAAACTTTGCAAAGATGAGTTTTGTTTGATAGCCAATGAATATATTAAAAAAAGTAATTGTTTTAATTTCTGTAGACTGTGATCTCCAAGATCACTTTGTAGTGACCCTAAATACAGTAAAACCCTGACTACTCAGCATTCAAGTAATTAGAATATTTTACAATTTCAGAAACTTCTGAAAAATTTGCAAATGCGAGACTTATAAAGCGCATAGAGGATACTGTCGTCAAACAATTGATTTAATGCAAATTATGGATGAAGCATGATGTTACAACACAGTCACAAGATTTTTGCCTTGCCTAAACCTGATTAATTCTGCTATTTATCTATTTTCCCCTCACATTTTGAAAAAAGATCTGTTACGTTCCTTCTATGGAACAACACCGTATAGTAGAATGTTTATTAAGTTACAGTATCATCAAGAAAAGCATGCTTTAATGGATGCAACAGGAAAATTTATAATAAATCATGTAAGTTTTTTTTCGGTGCTGTTGACTTTCCTGCTAGAATGATTGCCGCAAGTTTGGTGAAATTTCTGCTAACTTTCATGGATGACAAGATTCATAATCGGATAAGATGTTTTACTTGCACGTGTTTAAATCTTACAAAATGTGTTGACTTTTATGTCTGAAATTCATTCTTTTCACCTGAAATCTTACATGATTTTAAGTGCAGGCATTTATTATCCAAGAAAACAAATAACATGGTTAGTTTTATAATTTTAGACCTGTAAGTTCTTCCATTCATTTGGCTTTGGTACCATGAATTGCATATTTTAAATGCTCAACTATTTGGAATTTTCATGCATACAGCATTTGGCATTTTCTGAGTTTTTACTATGTTACATTTGTAATTTAGAGAAAGACTTTAACATTCCATATTTAGTTTTTATCTATATTATTGCTTGAAACAATCTTTCTCCTCTTCTGTTATTTTTAATTAAATTCTGGAAAAATTGTGATGAAAAAATTTTGAACTCTTACTGAAATATGTTTTATTAAATTGCATAGAAAATTAATCTTGAGGTTTAAGAGTTTACTTTATTTCTTTCACTAAATTTCACTTGTAAATTCCTAATAAAATATAGTTGTGTTTTTAAAATCAGTAACCTTAATTTTTTTTTTTTTTTAAAGTAAATGTCAGCTCAAATTTTATTTTAATGAAATTCTTCTACTTAACGTATTTTGCCTTTGAATATTGATGGAGATCCCACCAAAACTGTACTAGTTATTTAATGGAAATTTGAAGAAACAAATTACTCTTTATTCAGTTAGATAAAACAGATCCCTTTTTATTTAATTATTGGATAATCAAGTGATACGAGTTACAAATATGGCATATAAAAATGGTACTTGCATGTTATCCTGTCGACAGTTAGAGTTGGCTACATTGAATTAAGCAAGTTTGCAGAAATCCTGCTAAACTTGTACCATTCATTCCTGTGGAATCCTGATGGAAGTGATTTTTTTTAATAAACAGTCATTCATTATTTACTCACATAATCAACAGATATAAATTAAACACATAAAAAGTATATAAATATTAATGCTAGCTTTTAAATTAATTAGCAAAGCAATCCATGCAAACCTGTGGCAGTTATTTTGGCAGCAAGAAATCCCTGATAGCAAAATAATTGGTCATTGTATTTATGAACATGAATTTGCTCAAATACAAATCTAAATGGTGATATTGTGGTATTGCCATGTTTTTTATTGTATCATTTTGCTAAACGACAGAACGTTTTGAGTATGACCACCACTTTCAGGGTCTGCAAAACTGTAATAGTGATCATCAGTAATATGAAAAACTATTGAAGCTTGTAATTCACTAGTTTTATAACTTTTCCAACAGTCAGCACTGTTGTAGTTATTGGCTATATTTTCTTTTATTGTTTCTCTCAAATTAGCCACACTTCTATCTGCAACTCTCAAAATGAAACATTTTTACATCTTTCCGCACTATCCACCGAATAGCCACTGCTACAGAAGTATTCAGCCCGCTTCTGAAAAAAATTCCATCGATTTCTACTAGTTTGTTAGGCCTTTCAATTTAACTGGAAGCTCTTTTTAGAACATGATGAATACAAACTTCGTGTAGATAGTTATTCCAGTATTTTGCTGTAAAGTGATAGAGTGTGTGAACATGGGCCCAAATCAAACTGTGGCAGTTTTGTCAGCTATATCCCATTTGACATATTATTTTCTTAAATAACTGTAAAGGAAGCGGAGTGCAGTCACAAATTGGGAGTTTAAAATTCTAGAACCACGTTCTTTTTCGAATGGATATTCTTTTGTCACAATTTTTAACACCACATCACTATTTGTTATCTGTTTTTAAATAAAGTACTATATCAATGTCCATTTATACATACAGTTTTTATGGTAGGATTTCCTAACTTTAAAAATAGTTAAAAATAGTTACAGTTTTGTAAAATACAAGTCCGAAATTTTATTTTTTTTAATTTAAGAAAAGATGTGATAATATTTAAGCTATATCATTGTTCTCATAAATAAAATGTGGCTTATTGAGAACTGATCAGGCCTACATGAAATGAAAGCATCGATATTGTGTGTTCTCATCTTATGCTTATCCATAACTGGCAGTAAGTCGTGTTGCTTGGTGGCTGACAGAATAATATACAAGTACCATAAAAACATAAATAACTGTGAGCTTATGTTTTGAGATTGTCACACAAAGAAATTCATTAAAACTAGTATGTTATTGTTGCTGTCAAAATTTCCTAATGGAATATAAAATAACAAAATTTATGAAGTCGACACCATATATATATTAATTTAAATGCAAGTCTAAATAATGTTCTGTTCAGCAATGTCTTTTACTAAGGCATTTTCATGATTTGCATATGCACATTGATATAACCAGTCTTACAATTTTTAAATACTTCTCAGTACTTTTTCGTTTCGCCGGCGCAAATCTCGCCAAGCAGACCAACACACAGTATACACATAAAAAATGTAGACAAATGTTAGTTCCAAGAATTTTTAAAATTTTTTTTTTTTATTTATTTTTAATGTCGTTTAATATTTTGTAAAAAAGCCAATAAATA